TTGTTGTTATTGAACCTTGAAGTTTATTCAAGGAAAATGAGGATAGTCGTCACACAAAACTTTGTTGTGAACCTAAAGCTTTTGCTAGCAACGGAGAGGAATTAGTTATCCCCACCCCAATCCCACCACCCCCTCCCCCACATAAAATAATAAATGTATTAGAACCCAGAGCTTTTGCTTGGGGGTGAGGGCTGTTGTCCCAGAAAAGAGAAGTTCTTGGAACCTTAGAGGTTTTCTTGGGGTAGTTAGAATTAGTTATTGCATAAAAGTCATAAGTTATTGGAGCTTTTCTTTTCTGAGAGTTAAAAAGCAGTTAGCATTAATAGGGTACCAATGAGGCATGCAGCTAATATACAAAAATATTTAGTAGTTTATCAAAATATCAAAGATCCAAAATCCTTGTCTATATAAAGAGGATGATCCTTGATTAAAAAGCCTAGGGCCTGGAACTATAAATTTTTTAAATATGTTAAAAGCAGACTCCATGCTCTGAAAAGCTGACGTTTTTCTGTTTCCAAATAATCCAAAAGAGAGCCAATGAAATGAAGGATAAGGTCTTGTTGTGGTGGTTATCCCCATGGATGCCTCTTCAAGCCCAAAACTCCTCTTTTACATACCCAGACGTCACCCCCCTGTAGACCTTAAGCCATAGATGAACTTGTTGCTCAATGGGAATGAAGGCTTTTCGCCTGCCTTAAAAGGAAAAAAGGAAGTTTTTTTACGTTTTCTTTGTTGAAGTTGTGATAGATTGCTGGCAAATTTTGTAGTTGTTTTCATGGAAGGTTTGTCATTGTTAGTGACAAGTATCTATTGATACATGTTGGTTGAGTTCTTTTGGAATTTGTTGTTGGTGACAAGTATCTATTGATGCTTGGTTGAGCTTCTTTGCTATTTATAGTTCTTGGAAGTTGTCAAGTTTGTTGTAAGGCAGTTCATGGAATTTGTCAAGTTTTTTTTATTTACTATATTTGAAAAAAGCTTCAGGTTTTGTCATTATCTTTAGCATTAGAGGAAGTGTTAGGAACTAGGAATATTTCCTATATTGCCTATATGAGCGGGAATTTCGCAAGCTATTTTTTTCATTTAATTTAAGTTTTTTATTTACTTGATTTGGAACAAGCTTCTGCTTACACCATCTTCAGCTTTAGAGGGAATCCCAAAAATAGGTTTTTTTTCTATGACTTATTTGGGAATTGTAAGCTATTTTCTTTAGTAGTCTTTTCCTATGTAGTTAACATTTCTATTGGTCAGTGTACCGCTTACTAGATTCTTTCATAGTTTTTCTTGTCTTATTCCTAATTATCTGTATTATTTTTTCAACATGGTAACAAGAACAATATCTCACTTGTTTTTTTAGAAATGATAAATTTTCTGCAAAAGAAAGGGTATAAATGATGCCAAGTTATGAAAACTAGAGGCAGTATTAACTCATCTTGTTTTCTGTTTGGAGATGCTAATGGTGCTAAAAATATTGGAACTGATAAGCAGATGGGACGGGTTGATGGATATAATCCACAGAGTACCAGGAGAGACACGCCCTTCACTTTGACAAACGTGTATGACAAGGATCCAAGTCTGTCTTTTGCGTCAGGTGATATGCAATTTTTGCTTTTCAGTCTATAACATCTTTCTTTTCAAACTAGTTTTTCTGCATTAGCTTGTCCTTGATTAGCTTTAATGCCACATTTTCGTAACAGCCTCTTGCTTTCTCATTTCTCATGGAGGTCTCAGAAGGCTAAATACAAGCTTCTGCTAGTGTTAGTTATATTGTCTATATAACTTCTAAGAGCATAGTTCTGTGCAAAGTCTGAAGTATTAATTATCTTTTGTAACCAACTGATCGAGACGGTATTTCTTTCATGGTCTCTCTCTCATCGAGTAAAGTAACTTAGCTGGTTGGTTTTCTAAATAATTGGCTGGACAAAATGCGTTTACCTTGCACTGTCATGACATCTATTACTTTTCGTTCCCCAATTTGCTTCTTCTAATGAATGCTACTTGTTTATGCAGAAAATTTTAATTAATAAAGAAATAACTAACGAGTTGGCCCATCATAAAGGTACTGCCTCTAAAGAGCCCATTAGGGAAGAATGCAAGTACAGACAATATATCTGCGGTGAGGAGGCACTAAGGATATCACCAACAGAGCAATATTGTTTACACCGTCCTATTCGCAGGGGTCATTTCAATATATCACAACATTATTCCATGCAGCAAGTACAGTATCTATTCCTCATCCTTATATGGAATTCCTTTTTAGAAAATAAAAGACGTCCATGGTTGTTAATGTCACACACCTTTCTTGCAATTATGTTTGATATGACAGCATGCACATCATCAGTTATTTGACCTTCAAGGTTCATCGTTGACATCCTGTTGGCATCACAATGAGAAATTAGAAGTCTTTTTATCTATTATTGTTGTTTTGCCTTGGTGTTTCATGGAGTTTTTAAA